AAAGATTTTATCTTTTCATATAATTTTACTTTATTTTTTATACATTAAATTTTTAGTATATATTTTATGTTTAAAATTACTTTATGAAATACTGATATGTCCTTCATCATGTTATTGTAAATAATAAGTTATTTATTTATTTATTTTAGAATAATTACTGGTATGTCAAAGTTTGATTCTGTTGATAATAATGGGGAAGAAAATTCTAATAAATCGAAATAATTTTTAAAATTTTTATATGAAAATAACTGGATAAAGAAAAAAAATTAGGAATACAATAATTGTAAAATTGTTTTTTCTTGAGAAAGAAAAATATTAGTTGTGCGTGAAAAATGTGCATAAATGTGGTGTGATTGACTGATGTCACGTAATTAGAAGGAAAAAAAAATATTTTTTTAAATTTGTAGTGCTGTTAAAACATACTTTACTCAATGAATTAAGTTTTAATTTATTTAATATTTATTGGAAGGTGCTCAACTGCGATGTAACATTACACATATTGTTTTTAAACAAGGACAGATCTAATAAGTAAATGGCAACAAAAAAAACAAAGAATTTTGAGGTGGTGAATTCAAATATTTTATTTGTGCCCATTTAATATGATAATAATCAGGCATCTAAAGATAAAAATCAGGACTATTTCAAGATCTTTTTATTATTTATTGTTTTACTATGCAAATTTCATTTTTTAAACTTAAATTTATATATATTTTTTATTTCAACAGCATTTGAAAAATGCTTAGTTAACTGTTACTTATAAGTTTCTCTAAACTTTGAATCCCACACTAATATTGCAGTACAGAACTATTTTAATAAAATAGTTATAAAGGATACAAAAAGCTTAGTTCAATTTTGTGATGAATTTCATAAATTTATTGATTTAAGAATCCGCTAATTTTTATTATTCTTACTGACACTTAATATATTTTTTTTAAAATGTAAAAATTGCCCACTGATAGTATTTTATAACAAATGGAAATTTGCTAATATTATTGTCTTTTTAATTATACACATGAAACTGATTTTTTCAGTTTTCAAGCTTATGGAGGTAAAAGTTAATTGATAATAATACGAAAAATTAGGAAGTTTTCATCTTCTGGCAAGAAGAAAACTTTGAAATCAATAAGCCATTTTGTGAAATAGAAAGCACTTTGTTTAGGGCTGTCTGCAACTACAGAAACAAAGAAAAACACATTTTCAGGAAGAGAGATTTAGAAAGTTTTCTCCATTATCTGAGTCAAAATCTTATTTATATATTAACCTTACTTGAAATAGAAAATCATGAAAATGATTGAAAGTTGATTATAGGAGCCAGTACAATTCTCGATACTGAGCAGATTTTGCCAAAGGTTTTAACATAACATTTATTTTAACCATTTTTTTGGGAACTGAAGTAATATTTAAACACCATTTTGAAAAGTATCTCTATTTTGAAATAATTTAAGAAGATAATAAATTATGACACGATTTCTGATGTACCCAAGTTTCGAACTTGAGAGGCTTTTTATCGAAATGTGCTCTTATAGATTTCATATTTGTAACTTGGAATACGTGCGGATCTTTTATGCTTTAATGATTCTTTATTTTCTTTTCGCTAAAATGTTTTTCTTCTTTTTCTGGGTAATTACATGACTTATTATTTGGAAAACTCGCCAAAGAGGACAAAAGCTTATTTCGTGATTGGAACTAAATAGGTACTATTTTAGTGGTTTTAAAATCAATGGAATTATAATTCACCTGCTTAAATTCTTTTGTTAAAACTTTATCTTATTTTAATTGAAAAGTGCACACCTAGATTTCCTATTTGTAATTTATATTGCACAGCTTTTATTTTTTAATGATTCATAATTTTATTTTCAAAATTTTTTGTTACTTTTTTTTAAGTAACTTACTACCAGGTAAACTTGCCAGTGTTGGACAAAAGCTCATCTCGTGATTGGAACTCAATGGCATGTTAGACTTAATCTGCTTAAATTCGATAGTTAAAGTTTTATTTGGTATCAAAACTTTATTATATGTTTTGTACGATTTCCTTGGAAGAGGCTGTATTTTAGATAATTTCTCTGACCAATGAAAGAAATTCTAGATCTGTCCTTGTAAATTAATTGCTACATAATTTTAATGAATGGTCAGCATTTTTTTAAATGCATATTTAATTCGATGCAATATTATATACTATGCATAAAGCTGTTTCTATGCAAAAAAAACATTTCTTCCATGATATTGCATTTTTATCTATTTATAATTTATTTTTATTACATTAGATTTACACCATAATGATAGTCATGTGTTGAAAATGTTCGCAAAATTCTTGTTTTTTATTTTGATTCAATCTTTACTTTTGTTAGATCCATAAAAGGTGATCTGCATACTAAGTGATAAGTACAATCAAAATTTGATTTGAACTCAAATAAGTAACTGACTAATTATATGCATTAAAAGTGAAGCTTTTGTTAATTTATGTTGTGTGTTACTGGTTATGTAACCAATGCCCCCATTGTATACAATGCATGGCGTTTTTAGGCAAAGTATAAAATATGAGAATTATATACAGAATGATTATAGTTTAAGTTGCACTTTCAAAAGGCCGTAAAAAAGATTCACTGGTGATAATGACTTCACTTAAAGATTCACTGATGATAACGATGTTTCAAGTTCATGAAGCAATAGAAATTTATTTTGCAAAAGTTAGAAAATTGATTAATAAGTGGCTCTGTATTCTTCAAAAGATTCTATTTATATGGCACTGTTTGTTCAAAGTTAATCCACCAGAACAAGATAATGCGATAGCGAATGTTCGACTTTTAACTTAGTTGATCAAATTTTCAACTAGAACTGTTAGAAAAGCAAAGGTGGAATCTGTTTTTATTAATTTCTTTACCAAAAAACTAGCAATAGAAAAAACTGATGAACATCTTGAAATTAGTATAATTTTTACAACTTTAGATTTTTCAGCACTATCTATCAGTAAACTATATATTTTTTTCACAAAACAAATTTCAATTACCTATGATCAGATGAAATATCAGGTTATTCTAAATTGGCTTTACTATTATTATTTCTTTAAAATCCTTTTGAACAATGCAACTTTAATTCTAATAATCTTGTAATTTATCTAGACATTGTATACAATGACATGCTCTTTAGGCAAAGTATGGTTTGGCTGATGTAAATCATGGAGAAAAAACACTGCTTTGTTTTTGCAACATATGTTTTTATAATATCCATCAATGAAATAAATTAATTACTGGAGGCAAAACCAGGTAAGATTTAACTTCGCCTGTAACATAAATTTCTTTTTCTAAACAGGGACTTTTTTTTTTTAAATTTATTTATATTTATATAACAAGCATTAATTAAAAATGTATCAGTACCTTAAAAATGATTATTTTAAATTTTTTCAACTTTATCTTTTGATATTGTGACTTCTGTGTAGATACATAATTGATTATAAACCTTTTTGTAAATAGTTTGTTCTCTGTTTTATAACATTTGACAATAATTAGAGATAAAATGCATGCTTGTGTTCCAGTATTTAAAAATATTTCTTTTCATAGTGGAATTTGGTTTTGAAATTGGCTCTGACTTCTCTTTTTAGAATTCTTTCATTTTTTAAAGACTCGTCTTAAATTTTTAAACAATTCCAAGGTTTGTAGTTAATGTCCTGATTTTTAACCTCCAAATATCCCTGATTTTTGTGTTTCTACAGAACATCCTATTTTTTTTTACGAATATAACTGCGGATTTTAAACGTATTTATTTTAAGAATTAAAAAACATTTGGATTTTTGATTCAATATCTTTTTACTTCAAAAAATAATGCCGATAAAAATAACCGAATTCATTATTTTAAATTTGGAAACTGTCCACGAATTATATGTATATTTTAGACAAATAACCTTACAGTTGTATCATAGAATTTTTCTATATTGAGGTGTAGGATCATCCACAAAAAAACTTTTGGTTTCTGTGTTTTTGTTCAAAATTATTGAAACCCTACTTTAAAATTATTATATTAAGGAAGTACTTGATTAATTAAATTTTGGTTTGAAAGAATATTAAATGATGGATACCTGTTATTTTTTAAATGCAATAGAACTATGAAATTTTTCTAAATATATGGTGATCTTAAACTAATATGAGTTGTCCACTGCTTCCATTAATTAAATTATACTGGAAATTGTTAAAATTTTATGTTATGAACTTAGTAATTTTCAAATTAAAAATAGTATATTTTATTATTCTTTTTCAATAAAAATGCCTTTATTACATTAAATAGAGCAAATTATATAGATATATTTTTTAGTTTTTGTTCTTAAAAGTAGTCTGGTATATGTCTACTGTTCCAAAAATGTTTTAATTTGCTGGTATTCAGAAGAAATTTTTATTCAACTAGACTGTTCATGGAAAATTTTATTAATCTCATATAGCAAGGAAGTGTAGTTCTGATTTCACCTAAGAGTTGTTAAGAAATAAACTTGTCCTAAGAAAAATTTTACTGAACAATGGACAGCTATTTCCTTCACTAGGAGTTGGGTCAAAACTAAAGGTTAAAACTAAGAGATTTCAATGCAAAAATCCTTTAAGCGGATTTACTTAATATTACAATGACAACTCTTCTATTGTGGCCTTTTCCTGACACAGTATATTTTAATCAAGGTATCCCAATGTGAATAATTCTGTCATTTTTCTAAAAATTGACTGAGTTGGTTTTAAAACCAAATGCCACAAAAATATTCTTTATATAACCTTAAGCAGGATATATACTAAGTCAACAATATCATTATTATAATTCAGCAATCAAGAAATTTAATTTTTAATCTTATAAATATTTAGTGTTTAAGGCATTTGTGCTTGCTTTTCCTTGCCAAAATGCACGATAATGCATGTAAAGCAATACCATTGTATTATATATTTATATAACTATACTATTTTTTATGCAGATACAGCATATTATTTACATTGTATATTTTGACTGTTTGTAAAAAAATAACTAGTATATTTCAAGAACTGTCTTAGGAAAATTTTTATTTGAAGTTTTGTCACATAATGTGAATAAAATATAAATATTATTTGATTTAGTGTATTTTAAAACAAAAGTATTAAAATAATGAAGTTATTACAATAAATATTTGTTTTATGCTTAATCCTTTCGCTAACATTTCTTTGAAAGAGTTCTCTTTATTTCTTCTTGAACTTCAAAAATCGTAAATTTTCACTCATGTGTCTTGGAAGTGGTGCTGCAACAAACAGATTTCTTTCATTTGCGTATTGCGGAATAAAAATATGTTTTGCGTGTATGTGAAGGGGGATGTGACGCACTTTACTTTGTCGAACCTGCAACTTTTGGAGTAAATCACTTGACAATTTCTGTAAACAAACAAAATCAATATTGTTACCAAATATAGTTTTTAAAAATATATTCTTTGTTTAAATATTAAAAGTCCTCTAGAAGAAAAAAATTAAATTTAGTTGTAACAGACACAGTGGGTGTAATAATAATGACAAATGATTTCAAAAGCAAATTGAAGATATATATCTTAGAAAATTTCTTATCAGGTTTCAAAATTAGCTACATAGTCCATCAGTAGATGGTATTTTTAACTGAAAAGAACTATTAACTCAATATTTTCAGCAACATCATATTACAGTCTGAGATCAAATTTACATACTCCCATTCAAATATTTCAATAATCTAGTTAACTAAGCAGAATGCATTTAATCATTACATTTCATCTTCTTTGATTCATCCCTTCGCATATTAAACAAAAGCATTTTATAATTTTAACTTAAAAATTTTAAAATTGAGGTTTTTAGAAACTCTTAAAAAGGAATAACCTCTCATTGATGAGGATACCTTAGGCTAGTTTCATTTGAAATTAGAAAATCAAATATCTTCTGTTACTTAATGAGTATTACCTCAGGTTATAGCACACTAAGTTAGTTTAAAGGAAAAATTACTTGAAATTACAGTTGGAAACTAACCCTTAAACTTCTGCCTTAATAAAAAAAATAATAAATGCCTTATTGAAATAGGTAACATCTGTATTACATCAGTCAATATTTTTTACAGCAGTTTAAAATGTATTTCATTATGTACCATATTTTATAAAATAAATACGTATATTTAATTTACCTGAGGAACAAATTTATCCAAATGCGAGTATTTGTGATCTCCTAAAATTGGGCAGCCCAAGCCAAAACCAAAATGAACTCGTATTTGATGTTTTATTCCTAAATAAATAAGAGATTTTATTAGCATTTACTAAATGCACGTTAGTGATTCACACTAAAATTAGCTAACAAGTATTTCCAACATGTAATAAGTTATAAAGTTTTTAAAAATAAAATTTACAAAAGCATATTTGCTATAGAACCTCAATTATCCAAGCATCTTTTATCTGAATACATCTGTTAACTCTGAAGTGTTTTTTTCTACGCCTGCACATAATTTCTTTCTTTTCTCAATATCAATAATATAGTCTTCATTCAGTAATATAAGAGACCTTCAAAATATAAAAACTCTGGTATGGTGTTACTATATGAAATTCATCATTTTATGTGTGTAACAAACATTTAAGTTAGTGAAGTTGGTTACTTTGGTTTTGCTAATAAAATAAGAAAGTTGTAATTTTTCATTTATAGTTTCATTATTACTACTGAAATTTATATCAACCACCACCTTTTCTGCTTTTGCTAAAAAGAAGCATGTTATGTTATATGTGCAAGGAAAATATAATACCTTAGTTCAAATGGAATCAGAAAAAGCCTCACAAAACTTGCAAAGTAATATAAATAAGTGAAAATAAAATAAGGATTTTAAAGCACTCAATACTTAGTTCTAATTAAAATGTTAAAAATTATTTTTCAATAGTTAATCAAGAACTAAATAGCTGTACTCTGTTGCAAGTTAAAAAAGAACAAAAAAAAAATCATCATTCCTATGAAGAGAACCTTTTTGCATCTAAGTGTCCACCAAATGGATGTAAAATTCCCAGCGCTAACGTATATCAATACTGCCAACTCTTGAAAGGATATTGCACAGCTTCATTTTTGCTTGCTTTCTTATTAATAATAATGACAGTTATTAATAACAATAATCAATTAACAAGTAATACTTAAAATAGTAACAAATATATGTATCTTTGTTCGCATTTAAAGGAACTTATGAAAGAATAATAAATATTGTTTCTTGCAGACAATTTTCATCCACAGCAAAGAAAAATTCCTCACCTGGCATTTGGTTTCTTAAGAGCATGCCAGCATAACATGCAACATTTTTAGTGGTCCAATCAAATCTAATGATCTTGCAACCTTATATAGTTGTTTCTTTTTCAAGAACGAGTGTTCTCCTTATTTATTGAACCTTTTATAATAACGTTTTTGTATAATAAGCTATATTTTAATAAATCTATATGTATCATAAAAAATAGCACAAATTAAATTTTTGTCTGATTTGTTTAACTTTTAAAAGCTTTTAAATTATTTTGAAAGCATATTTGTATAATTTGATAACGAAATAAAACGGATTATATGCAGTCACGGATGATTACTTACATACTATACCGCAATGGTTTTTTCTTAACTTGCAACGGAATATAGCTTTAAAGAACTCCTAGCAAATATTTTAATGCTTCATTAAAATAAAATTCAAAATTCCCAACAAATAAAAGTATACATTTATTTTCAGTCACATTTAAAATGTAAAGTATATTTTAATTATAAATAGAAAAATAATGTATACTAGTTTTGTACTCAAAATATTTTGAATTAAATTTTATGAATGAATAATTATATAATGAAAATAACCTTTTGAAGTAGAAACTGATAAGAATTATAAGAAAATGAAATAAAGGAGAACAAACTTTATTTTGAAAACATTAAACAATCAGTAAAAATAACCATAATAAGCTATACTTTTTGAAAGCTTTACAATTAAAAATAATCTTGATGCATTCTAAAAAATAAAAAAACTTCATAGATGTTAAAAAGGAAAAAATATTAATTATTTATACAAAGCAAGAATGTGCACAAATAATTATAAAAAAAATAAATATTCTTGTTTTATCACGCAACTAAATTTAATGTCTTCAAAATTACGGATTGAAACAAATAACAATAAACATTAAAATTGAATCAGTATGGAAATTAAACTTGATGTATAATAGAAAATATTTTATGTATAGCAAAAGTTGCATAACTTATAAGGGGAGGGCATGGGTCAGGAAATCCAGTGCAGCATTTCATACTTGATATATTAATGGTATATTTTCATTTTATAATACTCAATACAATACCATAATCAATTTATTTGTGAAAATTAAATGAAAAGGATATTGAAAATCTTTCCTTCCTGTCTCCTACCCTTTGACAATTGAGTTTGGTCAGGGGAGGAGTAAATATTCTAAAGGTATACTACTAATACACCAAACTTCATCTTAGAATTTCCAAAGTCTCCCCTGTGTTAGACTAGAAGATATTTTGTGTGTAAGAACGACAATTAATTATGCAAATTAATATTAATACCATAAAAAAAAGATAAATCTTGTTTTATGTATTTAAGATTTAGCAATTAACAGTGGGAAAAAAATTCAATGTAGAAATATTTAAATAGAAATAGGTATTTTCATCTAAATAGGTATTATTTTTAGAATTCATCAGAACCAAACAGGCTTGATACAGTAGTTTTCTGCATTTAATGTGCTCGTACTTACCAGTCTCAGGTTTCACTTCAACAAGAGCAGCATTTCCAGACACTGCTATAACACTGTACTGTGTTATAGCTTGCTTACCAGCTTTTGAATGACTTACATAACATACTTCATCTGGTAATTTGGGATGTAGAACCATCTAATGACACAAAAGATAATTTTTATTAAAATTTTTTTTTTCACTGATTATATATACACACACATACTTTGCAACTAGGAGATGTCCGTTTATTAAAAACATTTATTAATTTAAAATTGAGAAATAAAACAAAATGTCTAACCCGAGATTTGCTTTCAATTTTTCCTTCAGATATAGGTATATCTATAATACCTGAAATAAAATAAAAAATAGCATGCATTAGCGTATTTTAAAGATTTAAAATGCTTCAATCTTATAAGCAAGTTTAAATAACTTAATAAAAGTAACAAAATAATTTATTATGCAAAATGATCAGTTAGAAAGTGAATGAAGACTTGAAAATGGTATTGACATAGCAAGATTCTTCCTTTAAGTGTAACATTTAATGTTTTGCATTTACAGTTCATACAAGAATCACATGCATTATAATGATAGTATATAAAGAAATTCATAAATTATAAAATTATTGTTCTGACTGACTTTTTATTTGACACAATATTGTGTCTAGCATCTCTGTAATTATAGCATAAAACTAGTATGATACTCTTGGTTAATCAGTAGAAGTTCTAAATGAAATAAACGAAGAATGTGTACAATTTTTAATGAAACATTTTATAGTAATATTTATAATTTTAAAAAAAGAAATTGCTTAAAAAATTCTTTTGATAGTAATTTTTCAGATGATATTGTCAGTTTCATTTTTCAACTGGTAGACTTTATGAATATACAACTTTAAATCGTTTGAGCCATCTTCAACAGATCTAGTTCACAAAGTTACTCTATTATATTAAAATTATAAATAAGAAGAATTTATGAAGAAAAAAAATATTTATACAAAGTTAAAAGTACAATAAAAATGCTTTAAGAAATGGAATTCTAACCTTCCATAGGATCTGGAACTTTGCTGGTAACTATCCAATAAGTTTTGACAATTTTTCTTTGAGCAAATAATGACTTTAGTCTTGCAGCTGATACTTCATTCCTAAAATAAAATATTTGAAACTTTACAGTGTTTTTTTCCAATCTATAAGTTTATTAATAGTAAATGTTTATTAATAGTAAGCGTAGTATATTAGTAGTAAACGTTCGATTTGTCTTTAATAATTTCATTACCTGGGACAATAATATATATTGTATTAACTTTATAGTTTCTCACAATTTTACTTTCATTTTGTTTCTGGAATATATTCCATGTATCATGTTTTCACTTAGAATTTATTCCATGGTAACTCAGAGTAATATATAGATTGGCATTGAGATGCAAAAAAAAAAGAAAGAAAATTTTATAAACAGAATATGTTTAATACAAAATTAAAAAGATTAATAACAATTATAGTTCAGAGATCTGAACCGTCTGAGTCACAATGTATTTTTTAAAAAAAATTTGTGATATTTGTAACTCCAATAAAATACGTAAAAAAAAAAGCTCTGCAGCTTTTTTCTCTGTAATTTCCGCAAGAATCCTGAAGCTTATTTATTTTTCTGCATCCCACATTTTTCATCTATTTATTTTTATTTAATTACTTGTTAAAATTTCAGAATTTAATAACTGCATAAATATTGTTACTGAAGAATGAAAAACATAATAAATAATTGTATATTGCAAGAGTCAATAAAAAAAGTCAAACAAAAGTAAATCTCCCTTCCCACATTGATTTAATAAGCTAAATTCACTCAAAATATTAAAAAAAAAATGCTGCAAATTTTAAATTTTAATAACAAAATTTTTTGTAACATACCAGCATTTTTCTTTAGAAATAAATTAAGTATTAAATTTTCTGAAAAAAACAAACAAACTTTGACTGTAGTTAATGTGTATAATTTTTATATATATTTATAATGTTTGCCTATTAGCAATTCATTAATATTTTCATCATTTTTTATGTATCCTTATTGGAAGAAACTCTTAATATTTGTCGTTAATTTAAAATATATATTAAGCTACTTAGTGTAATGTGTAAATCTTTTACATGAAGGCAACTTACATAATATTTAGCTTACAGTGATACTTGTTATATCATAAGCTTAGCAAAGTGTTATTTTAATTTATTTAATCAGCATTATGATTTAATCAGCCTTATGTGTCAGAATGCTAAATAGTTAAACATCTTAGGGAAGCATCAGTATGGAGTTTAAGTTTTAATTCTTTATTGAATTATTATTTTACCAATTGCTGATTAATTATTATTTTAATTGATGTAATTAGTATTATGAATGTATACGGATGTAAAAGAAGAATGTTTGGAAGATATTTTGATTCTAATTTTGTCAAATTATCATTGGGCCAATTATCAATCTTGTTTATAGATACATATTTTTTTTATCATAAGAAAGCACTTTTTATAAATATTAATCTTTAAAATAAGACTAGTAATAATTTTAAGAACCTGCTTTTGGTAAAAAAGGATGCGGAAATGCTCAAAGAAACCACATTTTCTAGAGTCTAGTGAACAACTCACTTCAACTTTTAAGAAATATTAGAGAATAAAGTAGAATTTTGGTCTTTTTTTTTTGGTAATTATGATCAATTTTAATTAATGTAACTTCTTTATAAAAAAGAGGAATTCAGCCTAAATTATTTCTTTTGAAATAAACTACATTGCATATTGATAGAATTAAAAAAATTAACATAAACTGCACTTTACAAAAAAATTAAATTAGATAGAATAACAATATATTTAATAAAATATAGCAAAACAATTTCTTATATCTCAGCTACAAACAAATTAGAATAAAAACTTAATTATTATTGAAGAAATAAATATCTATGTTGGACACTGGCCTGCTTATTATTAAAACAAATCTAATTATATGATAAGATAAAATAATATGTAAAATAAAAATAAAATCCTCGATGTTAACTCTCACTAAAAGAAAAATCTAAAAATAAAAAAAAGACAAATTAAATGTTAAACATTTACATCCTGTTTTTTATTATGAAAAATCAAAATATAATCAACAATACTTAAGACAAGATGAAAAATTAAATTCAATAAAGTTGTTAATTTTAACAATAATGCACCACCATATATACCTAGCAAGTAAAAGGCATCCAGTAGTTTCTTTGTCAATTCTGTGAACAGTATATAATTTAGGAGAACTGGCATTCTGGTCCAAAAGCTTAGCTAAGTCATCTAAATATCTAGATAAACAAGCTAGTTCTTGTGATGTGCTAGATTCTAAAAATAGCAGGAAAAAAAATTTAAATAATAGAAAGGTATATACAAGACAATGAATATGATATTGATAAGATTTACCAACCATGGATAACTAAGTTGTAAGGCTTATTGAGTACTACAATGTCCTCTGAAAAATATAATACACATATTTCAGATTGAATGGTACTATTGACATTACAAAATAATAGATTTTAAAATAAGAAACAGTCATTGTTGTAATTAATAATGAAGAGTATTAAATCCTACCATCTGTATATAGTATATTTTCTTTTAACAGTTCTAACATTTCATCTTTAGTGAAATATTTAAGAGTTGGCACTTGATGTTTCAAAATTCTGAATCCTTTACTATCTACTTTCTTTTCCTTCTTTGCAGATATTCCTGGAAATGAAAAAAAATTAAGACAAATCTACAGAATTAAATAATGAAATGAAACAATAATTAAATTAAATGAAAAAAAAATCTTTAAAAAGATTGGCTGCTTTTTATTTTTAAAATAGAAAGTTGATACAATTAGCATTGGTACCATAATGGTTGTTATAAGTACAATATGATACATTTTGTTCGTACAGATTAACTAGTTTCAAGTGGAACTTCCACTTTAATATATTTTTTAGACTGGGGTACTTTTAGGTGATATTTGAGTATGACATTATTCTAGAGGGCGAATCAACTGAGTCAGAACAGAAGGAATATTACAGAATTCTCAAGCAAATTCAGAAAAATAAAAATTCATTGCCTTTTCCAAATACCAGCAAATTTCAAACGACATTTTTGCTATACACAGCAATATTTTATCAGAAATATAATATGCATTTTTTAAAAAAATTTAATAAGCAACAAAACTTATTTTATGATTTAAAAATTTTTTATTTCAACTTCAACAACTTAATAGCATTTTATAAAAATTATAATTTGAGTCACATCAGTCATATAACCATCTTAAATTTTTCTTGTAATTAAGATATATGATGGCTATATGACTAATGAGACTGGATTATAACTAATCAATAACATATGGCAATAGTAGAGCCAAAATTAATCTTCATACAAAAATCTTAATCTTTGTATATTTTATAGGTAAGATATGTTTGTTTAAATAAGCTCATTATATATTTTATAACAAGGAAAATAACTAAAAAATTATAAAAAATAATTAAAAAATTTAGTAAATTAAAAATTTAGTAGGTTTTTAAAAAGTCTCCAATAATAAATGTTTGATTACAAATGATATATATCTAGTCACTTTGAACAAATATATTTTATCGATTAGTATGTTTGTTTAAATATGCTTATTATATTCATGAAATTAGAAAAATTTTCTCATTAATGAAAATTTCTGTTGAACTTTGAGATTTATAACATAATAGAGATTTGTAACATATTTTAGACAACCTTATACCTTTTTTAATATCATCAGGTAATAAATTTTTTCTTTTCAACTTTTTTACGAAATCAAAGGCTGTTTCAATTTTGTTTTCAACTAAGGGTTCTTTTGCTTCTGATTTTTCAAGTGAATTTAAGGTTGATTCCGAATCAACTTCTTTACTTGAATTTTCAGTTTGAGAAAAAATTTGAGAATCTATTTTACTTTCCTTGGCTAAACCAGTTTTTATTCTTGAACTTTTTTTATCGGCAGACTTCTTTTGTAAATTTTCATTTGATAGTTTATTTTTGCTATATGCTTTAGTATTAATTTGAGATGATGATAAATCATCAACATCTGTAGCTACTTTTTGTATATTCATAGTGTGGTTCAGTTTAAAATCATTTTCATAATCAGTAACTTTATTTTCTTCAATATTTTGATGAAATTTAAAAATGTTCTTTTCGTTAACTACACTAGGCTTAGAGTTTTCATTGATTGACTCAAAACTATTTGGTGCTGTTTCACAATCATATTTTGATGCATTTATATTATTTTCACTAAAATATTGTTCATCAAAAAAATTGTCTGAATGTTTTTCAGTTTGAGGAATAGAATTATCTTTGTAATTATCACCAAAATAATGCTTATCAATGAAACTTTCAGAGGCATTAGATAAGTCAAAATGATTTTGCCTACGAGGGTCAGCCACAGAAGTATATTCTGTTTGTAAGTTATCAGATTTAAAATTATCCAGAGTTTTTTTCTTAACATCATGAATATTATTTTCAGGTAATATTTCTGATGTATTTATATTTCTCTTTTTAGATTGTGTTTCTTTTATAAAACTGTCAGTAGATTGATCACTATGAGACACATTTTCAGTACAACTTTCAGTTAAATAATATTTATCAATAAAATTTTCAGAAACTTTAGGTGAGTCATGGGTAGTAAATTGATTTTGCTTAAAAGAATGAACATGGCTGCTTTCAGATTTAGGGCTTTTCATATTAATATAGTCAGTTGCGTCTTTTCTTATATTTTGATAATCAGAGTTCTTTTCTTCAGGTGAAGAGCTAGGCTCATAAACGTCATTGGTTATTGATATATTTTGATCTATCTTATTTTCTAAAGTAATATTAGCTTTAGATTGCACTATATTTTTTTCCTCAGATATAACGTTTTTATTAAATTTAACACTACTATTATGTGCATAATATGAGGGTTTGTTCTCATTATCTAATCTTACTGCACCAAAATTAAAACTTCTAAATTCATTCATGGGTTGGTGTGAAGTCCTCTTTTGGAGAGCTTGAACTGACTTTTCAGATCCTTTAAGTTCTTCAACATTAATTACTCCCTCGTCACCTTCAACACCATAAAAGTTTGTAAATACATTTTTTGGTGTATCAGCAAAAACACCAGAAACAGTATGATCTTGAAAATTTTCAAATGAAGAATTTAGAGTTCTCCGAGATGATGGTTTGCGAACATAACTCAAATGAGACGAATGGAAATGTTTATTGCTGACAAGCTTAACAAAATTTATATAATTGACGAGAAAATTGATACGATGCCTACAAATCATTTTTAAATTGCTCTATAAAGCACGATTAAAAAGAAAATAATTCTATTAATTTGAAATTTATATTGCTATTAATAACAGCCAAACTGCTATTGAATTATTTAAATTTTATTATTATTGTATTCCTTCAATTAACTTCATTAAATACGATTCCAAAGAAGAAAATAGTTTCCTCTCTTCTTATAATTGTTCCAGCTTTATATTTAGATACATAATAGCCTAATTGAATCATCGGAATATAATTTCAAAAGGTTGTTCATCAAATCACTAATCATGCCGTACACACCGTGAGGTACTGAAGTAAACAAATAATAATTTTAACAGTTGCAGTTAAAATAAAATAGAATTCGCTATTTATGTGGCTTTTAGCTCTGTTTCTGCACTTTATTATTTCTAAATTTTTTTGAATTCTAATAACTGTTAACCGTTTTATTCGAAATGTAAATAGTAAACAAAAACATTTTGCAATTAGAACCTCCTGCTGAAATGATTTCACTCTAGTTGGCAATTAGTTTCAAACTCTCTGGAGACTTTTTAAATCTGTATTTTTTACAAAATGTCACTTGAATGGTGGCAAAGAAACATCGTCTATCACATTTATTTGCCAAGTTTTAAAGATGGTAATGATGATGGAATTGGTGACTTTAAGGGTAATCTTTCAATAAAAATAACTTTTTTCGTATATTTAAAGATGTATGGATGTAATTTATGTATGTCCTCATAATGTATTGATTTACTGTTGTTTTAATAGGATTGATTAGTAAGTTAGATTACTTTAATGAGCTCAAAATTTCATCTCTGCTATTAAGTCCATTTTATCCTTCTCCCATGAAAGACAATGGTTATGATATTTCATCTTATACAGATATTGACCCTAGGTATGGATGTATGGAGGATTTTGATCAATTAATGGAAGAATTGAATAAAAGAGGCAAGTTGTTTTAATTTATTTTTAGCTTGGTTTATAGGCCAAAATCAGCAGACAGTTTCATTATGATATAATTTATTTGCTACACCCCTTCCAGAGGGTGTCCAGGGATTAATATGATATTATATCCGTCAAGTTTTCTTATAATTTTTATCATGCAAAAGTCCGTAAACTTGATACTTTTAAGTGATGTTTATTATTAGAGAAATAATGGACAGTAGCATTTATTTGGTAATGTATTAATGAAAGAAATGAGATAAACTATATTTATGGAGTATTTTATTTATACGATCTAAAAGATTTTCACAGCAGCCTGTTGCTAGCCAAATAAGTCATGGATATTTAAAGTTCCACAATTGTGTGACCAATGGCATGGATAGCATTGAGGCTAGCAATGTGGATTATGAAGTGACTTCTGTTAACCAAACTTTTTTTTATTCCTCTATTTTCTTATAAGAGGTAACTTCTTTAAAGTATCATTAAAAATGTGCAGAAGGTTCTCAAATTATGTAAGTTTTAAATCTTCAATTCTTATGCTTATACATATTTGCATAGGCATATTTTTTAAAAAATGATAACGTGTTATGATATATATTTAGAATTTTGTTAAAATCTGGTATGCTTTTTAGAATTGCTATTACACAGTATTATTTTTTAAATAATTAATTTATAAAAGATATTCACTTTAATTTTTTATGGTCAGGAATGAATATAATAATTGATTTCGTTGCAAATCATACAAGTGATCAACATGATTGGTTTAAAAGGAGTATTCTTAGAGAAGAGCCTTACACAGAATTTTATATTTGGGCTGATCCCTTGCCTGGGTCTGCAATAGATAATCCTTTACCTCCCAATAACTGGGTAAGTAAATATTATAGTTCTTCTAATTTTTTTTAATAAAGTTTTATAGATCTTAAGAAAATTCTATAGTTTTTCTCATTTATAAATATTTTCTCATGTTGGTATATTTTAGTACTTTTTGAAGTAAGTAAATAATTCTCTTTGAGATGTAACAGCATTTTTAAATAATGAATAAATATTTCTATTAGTAATAAAGTAATTTAATAGTTAAAAGTGTTTGTTGGAAATTGTTTTAATTTGCTTTATATTGAGTGGTATGTAAAGAAAAATATTATTATGTAAAATCTACAAATAGTGTGTTACTAATAAATTTTGAATGGTTGAGATTTGCTATTTTCAGTCACAAATAAAAAGTAACATTCTACTAATTATATTATGTTGGCAAACATTTTCTAATTTCTCAATTATGTTTTTAATGTATTGAAATTGTTTACTGTTATTCAGTTCTGCTTTCCAAATCTTTTAATGATTATAAATAATCAGTTTGATAGTCTTTTTTTCTGATTTTTTATTGTTTATTCATTTTTATTTTATTTTTAAATTGTTTGTAGAATTCTTTGCTGTTTCTTTTGTGAAATATTATTTTCTGATTGTATTCTACAGATAATTCTAAAGAACTATAAATAACTAGATGCTAAACATTTTTTGAATTTTTATTAGATAATTGTATTTTTCACTTAAATCTTGTCTTATTTATAGTTATTTTTATTGTATTTTTTAAAAAAAGTACAATTTATTTTACAGCAAGCAAACAGACTGCTATCTATGTCATCTTTAAGAGTACATTTTTATACTTATAGAATTGATGGAAAAATCTGTACAATTTTCAGTTAGTGATTTAATATATTTTGTTTGATAAGTGTATAATTTAAATTATTTGAAAAAATAATTACCTTTTTCCTGGAGAAGTTAGTGGTCATTTTTCTAAAGTTGCTTTGTAATATTTATGCCTTTTGGTTCTGATAATTAAAGGAAAGGACATCAATAAACAAAAGCATATAAATTATTTATTATATTAAGAATACAGAACTGGAAAAAAGAAACAAATGGAATTAACTAACTTTTTTTTATGTTATGTTAAACAGTCTAGGCATTGTGCTTCAGCAGCAGCATCTATTATGTATATCTTACAATATCTACTCCATAGTTTACTTATATAGAGTAGATTTACTTACGATAGTTTTATGTTAAAATTAAATTTTTATATCCTTTGATAAAACAGTCATGTCTTATTATAATAACTAAAAATTTACTTGTAGAAAATAAATGCTATGAGTCTAATGAGTTAATTGCTAAATTGATTTGGCCTGTAGTAATTGATTGTCCGCTTTTTTGCATTTTTTTGAAGCAACAGATATAAGACTATTTGTACTATAGAAATGGTCTTTATATTAAACAAATCCATTACAACGCTTTACTATTTTTCCATACATCCAAAAAATCTGTAATATAAAGGTTGAGTTATTTATAAGCTTTTTGAGTATTGATATATTGTGTTTTATTATCTCTGATGTATTATTTTATTTGATATGTCTGTTGTTCAAATTTAATATTTAAATATTTGTAACGTTTGCACATAGCTTAGTGTTTTTGATGGTTCTGCATGGACTTGGAATGGAGTACGAAAACAATTCTATTTTCATCAGTTTTTACCAGAGCAACCAGATCTAAATTATCGCAATCCACTAGTAAGAGAAGAAGCAAAAGTATGTGTAGCATTTTTTTTAAAGTTTAGTAAAATTTTTTAAAAATTCTTATAGCTAAATAGTGTTTTTGTTTTTAAGTTTGTTTTATAATAGACAATGCAAGATTCTTTTCATTTTGTGATATAGTTAGGTTAACTGATAATCAATCTTATAACTAAAACATAAATGTTTGACTCAGTCTCTTTCAATATCAAAATAAGTTCTTTTCCTCATTTGTGTAAGCGGCAGAGATATTTTTTGGTTATACAAGAAAACTAGTTGAGCATTTTTCCTGGCTATGAAGATTGAGGCAAGCGCTAACATTAAAAGTGAAGCAGTTAATGGAGACACCATTTATAAAATATAGTCAAACTCGCAAGCTCCAATTCCTAAACTCGAATCCTTTGTATTCTTCAGAAATAAAAATAAATGTAGTAAGTATTATGTTTATTAGTTAGCAAGCATGTATTCACTTTTATGAATTTTCTTAACTTTTATGACTCATTTTTTACGAGTCCTCAGTTGTAACCAGAAAGTATTGCAGTCCCTTTGCATTATAATTGAGCTTGACTGTATTTATATTGTTACATTTTTATAAAAGGCTTTCATTTCTGTCTCGTGTTAAAAATATATTAAGACATCCGGTGATAACATCATCTTTGAGGAAGAATTTAAGTTTTTTACATTTCTTTTAAGTTCTAGTCTTCAGTTGTATAGAAGTTAGATTAGAAAAGAGGATTTTAAATGCACTTCTAATAAAAATTTAAATTGCTAAAAATAAGTTTTTAAGATTTTGATGGTGTTTTTGTATGTTAAAGGAAATCTTATGAACTATAATATTTTAACATTAATCATTGTTTTAAAAAACTTTTTTAACAGCAAAATGCTAAATTTTATTCTTGTTTAAGTTTGCATTGCTAGTTAGGATGATCTTTTCCTAATGAGTACATTTCTTCTTAAAAATTACTGAATAAGAAATTTTTTCCATTTTTAGCGTACATTAAGTTTTATTATATTTTATGTTTGTTTTTTTTCATATATTTTTTTCCATATTTATATTTTTTTCATGTTCATATTTTTTCCATATATGTATGGAAAAAAGTTCTCAAAGCAAAGGCTCTCCTAGTTTAAGTTTTCACATATATAAATTTGATGGTTTATCCAAGCTGTGCAGTGAGAAAATAGCATGCTATTAAACAGAAATAATAGAAAATTTATAATTAAAAAAATTATAACTAAACAAATTTAATTCCTCCAGGTGAGTTATATATAGCTGGAACCGAGGAGTATTGATTATTTTCTGCTGACAGTGATTTAAAACAAAATTGTCTGATGCCAAATTTAGAGCACTTTTTTTAGTTGAATTATATTCTGAATTAATTCTAAATTCTGAATTAAAGCAAATTTAAAGCACAAATTTTAGCAGAGCAGTCATAAATAGATTTATATTTAGTTCCATTTTTTAAAAGTAACCCACAAATTTTATTTTTAATAAAATTTATTTATTTTCTCAAGATATATTCATGTGCTGGATCTAAGTTACTAGCATGTTTCGCTCCATCATTACATAGCATAAACTCTCTGTTCCAAGTAAATCTGTGTCTGCAAATATATTTGTACAAGTAGGATATCTTATTTAAAGTTATTTTACGGCAGATTTAAAGTTAAAGTGGTCAATAATAGTATGTTTAATTGTCATTGATTTCAAACCATGAAATAAAAATTAAAATACTAGTAATTAAAACTTATTGAAATTTTTATGTTTTAAAGGGTAATATGGTCATATTTGAAAATCTCTATAATATCAGTGGAAAATTCTAGTGTTGTAGCTTCCTTTAAGAAGATTTTGTAAGAGTCTGTGTTGTAATAAATAAAGTATTTGCGTATTTTGTAAAGTAATTTTTCATTCATATGTGCAATTTTTTCTGCTTTCTCTGAGTTTGATAACTATTTACTGCTCAAATCTAATCTATAGATGCCATTCTTTTATTTAAGTCTAATAACCTATTTTCTCAAAATCATCTGAATAGTTTGAGCTGTACTGTAACACACATTAAGTTTTTTAGGAGAGTGTTTTCTGTTCTTCGATCTTAAAAGTATAAAACATAAAATTGAAATGTATTAATATTGAAATTATTCATTAAGTAACAATGAGAATTCTATGATTTAAAATAGATTGTTTTACATCTATTTTTATTTAACTTTCTGTTATCATAAATGCTACCTTATATTGTGTTTTACTAATGTGAAAGATTTTTTTTTAGAATGTCTTAAGATTTTGGTTAAATAAAGGAGTTGATGGATTTCGAATTGATGCTGCTAGTCACTTGATAGAGGATGAAAGATTAATAGATGAACCTTTGAATAAAAAATTAAATGCTAAAGAGGTAAATTGGTTTTGCTATTCACAAAATTTTCTTCACTATTTTGTGAAATTTATAAAAATGCGTAAAAAATATTATAGTGCTGATAAAAATTACATTATTATCTTCTTCATTTCAAAATTATAGTGATATTTGCACTTGTAGGTAAACATAATTTTTTAAATAAATTACGTAATTTTTACTTTAAAGTAATAATGTTCATAAATATACATAATTGTTCACACATCATCTTCTATTTTTATACAAATTACATTCATATTTTCTTTATAAAATCATAATTATGATCTATATAAATAATTTTTTCTGCTTCAATGTTGTGTGTTGACAGACTTACTTTCTTATGCATGTTCATTTTTCTTATGAGTTGAATCTTTCTCTTTTTTTATGAAATAATAATGATATTGATAGCATATTTTTATCTACAGCTATACATTTTTAAACTTTTTTATTTAAGTTTTAAATTATTACTGGATTTATTTCATAATATTTAAAATATTTGTGTACACTTTATCTATAAAATTGCTCTCTCTTTTTGTTTCATTCGATGTATTTCAGATTGAATACTAATGTTTTTAATTATTCAATTTAAATTCGAAAGTATATAATTTGTGAAAACTATGTTTAACTGCCATGATAATTTTTTTTCAGGGTGAATATAAGTACCTTAATCATATTTATACAAAAGGCAATGAAGAGAATTTAGATCTTATTGAAGAATGGAAACATGTGCTCAATGAATTCAGTACATCCTCACATAAACCAAAGCAAGTATTTTTTTAAATTTCTGATAAGAAAATCATAGCTGCCAATTTTTAAGCTTTCTGAGAAAGATTTTTCTCAGTGGTCATGTCAATGGTCAGTGATCATAACAATTTAATTATCTCAATTTTGCTTGAACGTAAGTACACACTGCTTGATTATCAGGTTTCTTTTATTTTATGTTTAAATTATTCCTACGTATTGATAGTCAAAAAATCATTATGAGTCATATTGATTAAATCAAAAAGTAAATATTAAAACACAAACTTAACTATCATCGGAAAAACACTTTTGCAATAAACGTAATAGTTGGTTGCTGTGTCAAATAAAACAAATTCTTATTGCTTCTTTTACTAAGTTACATCTTAATTTTTACTACATTAGTTTTTCCACATAGTTTTTTTTTTAGTTTTTTTTACGCATCTAAGTTAAGTAAATCCAAAGTTATTTATTTACAAAAATGAAAAAACAAAAACAAGCAGCAACTTTCTATGACAGTTGCATCCATCATTAGAGTTTTACAGATTTATAACTATAAATTGCATCTATCTATGTATCTAAAAGGAAATAACAGCTTTTATACACCTCTAAAAGTGGGAAATCTCGTTGTCTTGCAAAATTAATTGATTAAATGGCATCAGGCTTGTCATATCTTACTTAATTACTTGATAATACTTAATTATTTGAGTGGCAAGAATACAAAATAAAATATAACAGTTCAATTATAAGGTAATCCTATTTAGTTATAAAAATTTATTTAACCTGTTAACTTTTGTACTTTGGGAAACTTAATATGTCACTTTTCTATTATAATTTTTGTTCTAAATCAAAAATCTATTATAATTTTTGTTTATAATTGTTCTCTGTAATATGTTAACATACACATTGAAGACTACTACTGACATTTAGATTAATAGATATTAGATTAATGACTTTTCATTAATTTTATATTTATACGTATTGATAATTTAAAAATTTTCAGCTTAAATCTATTTTTTTTAATGTTAACTGTGCATTTAAATTAACAGATAAATTAAAAATAAATTATTTTTATGTCTTTGTATTTACTATATTAAAAAAAAATTTCACCTTGAGTTTAATAGTTTGCTGAGTTTGAGTTTTGTTGCTAAAATAGTTGTGCAAATTTGCATATGATTCACTGTATTTATAATTTAGGATTTTGTTAGTTGAAGCAATGGAGAAGATTGAGGATGTTATGTATTATTATGGGACATTTGAAAGAAAACTCGCTGAAATTCCTATGAATTTTCAATTTTACAAGATAAAACCTGAATCTACTGGGGAAGATCTTCAAAAATTTATTGAAGATTGGTTGACTAAAATGCCAAAAGGAAAATATCCAAATTGGGTGGTAGGTGATTTTTCTGCCATTTTGTCTGCTGTTATAAATCCATCCATTAACTTGAAATTAATATTTTATGCCATTCATTTAAAAGAATCTCATCCTGCTGTGGACTGATCTTAAAGAAATGGTTCCCAGTAGATCGTTGAAGTCAAGAATTACTGGCTAGTCAGCGTGCGAGTGGGTGACCACTTGGATCAGTCTGCGAAGGGACTGAGAGTGTGCGGTTTTGGTTCGCATTAAATTTTTCTACTGTAAAGTGCTCGACTTTGTGTACATGTTGTCAGACTACCAAAACGGGGGGTGCCATTCTCTCTGCAGAGGATCAAAATTGTGATTTCGTGTCCTCGGGGATGTTTCCCAGACAATCCCCAATAGCCCATTGTGCAGCTCTTGTGCGACATAAATAAACTACAACTACTTCATTTAAAAGTAATATTTTAATTAAAAATATTTGTAAAATGCTTTAAATAGTATGAACTTTAATAGCGTGGACAAAGTATTATAAGCTGAAATCTTACATAAACATAATATTATGGGATGCAGTTAGTCATTTACCAAGTAGTATCTAGCAGAGTTTTTTTCTGTCAAATTACTGTGAGATAAAGACCAATATTATTTAAAAATTGTTGTTATTTTTTGCAGCATTTCATTCATAGGAGAATATTTAAAAGAACCACATTACAGGTAGCCCAGAAAGAAGCAGGAAATTTTTGAATTCTATGCAACTCTTTGTATTATCAAATTCAATTTGAATAATTATTATTTAAAATGAAAAAGAAAACATAATTTTAACCTGAATCAGCTAAACATTTAGTAACTATAAGACCTAAGTAAGTTATTGTGAAAGTTGTTGAAATAACAGTTTACGTTTTTCTAATAGGATGTTTTTAGCTTTTATTTTATTTGAATTTTCATAAAATCTTATTGAACAAAACAAAAAAAAGGAATGGATAAGAAATAGTTTTTTTTTACTGCAATTAGTCAGATGGGTAGTGGGAAAGTGCACTTTCCCTCAAAGTATTGTTGACATCAAATTTTTTTTTTGTATTTTAACTTGTTATAAGCATATAATCTTAGTATCATTAAGTTTAGCTCATTGGAAGAACTTAACAAATCTTCCATAATAGTTTGATTCTCATAATACTCTCTAAACCAGACTTGTGTAGCATGTACAAGGTGTTATATAATAAATATTTTTGAAATCCTTGTAAAAATGAAAAAAAAAGTTTACCCATTAGAATTTTTTTTATTAATATTTATGCTATAGAAGAAACAAAAATGCTTCTAGAACCTAGTGAATCACTATTATGAAAGGCAGGAGAACAGAAACCAGGCTTTAGTTGCATCTACAGATTGTTCTTTTCTTGAAAACTTTTCTTAATATATATTTTAGAATCCTTGTAAGAGTGATGGGAAAAAGTTTACCCATTAGGATCTCTAATTAATATTTATGCTAGAATAAAACAAGAAGGCTACCAAAGCCGAGTAAATCACTATTATGAAAGGCAGGAGAACAGAAATTGAAAGAAATAGGAGTAAAAAACAAGTATATTATAAATACCTTCCAAATTTAAACTATGATCAAACAAATTTTATAGCTCTGTATATACGCCCTCCTTTATAGTGAGTTGACAGATTTCAATAGTATTTTTATTTTTTTTTTACGTTTAAATATTTAGAGATCTTCCTTTTTTTCCATTCATGTTTGACAAAAATTCTAAAAATGAATTTTGAATGTGGCCTTTATGAAACAGCTTGTACACATTTCTTGCATATCATTAATGAAAGACGTTTAATATCACTAAGAAGAATGTTTAATTTTGAAATAGATGAGTTCTCATGATGATGCAAGGGTTGTGACGCGTGTTGGAAGTACTTTGGCCAGTTCTCTTCACATGGTTATGATGCTGTTACCTGGCTTACCCATTTGGTATTATGGGGATGAATTGGGAATGGAAAATGGTATTATTCAACCAGAAGACATGAGAGATAGCTATGCTTTGAGAACTGTTTCTGTGAGTATCTGTAATGATTTTTTTTTAAGAAAAATGATTTAAATTTTTTTTTCTCAAAATAAATGTTTATTCCCACATGTGGAATATGTGTATTACCTTGATATTTTCAGTTTTCAAACATGTTTACAAAAATGTTCCATTTTAATGTAAGTATCTTTTACCTTAATATCTGTTCCTAGAGTCTATGATATTTTTTTTCTCCATTCTTTTCTATTCATAACACATCACTCAAATAGTCTTGTTCTGGCTGAGAAAAACAATTATTTTTCTGAAATTCGCCTTTATTCATCATCACAATCTTAATATAGGCCTGAGTTTTAGCAATAAATTCTTTATTTGCATCAAATTTCTTTTTCTGGAGCATCTTTTTGGTGCCTACGAAAAGTCAGTAGTCGCTGGGAGCTAGATCTGGAGGGTATGGTGGGTGGGGAAGCAATTCAAAGAGTGATTCATTCAATTTAACCATCGTATTCATTGATTTGTGAAAAGGGGTATTGTCTTAGTGAAACAGAACTTTTTCCTCCTCATATGAGGCTGTCTTTTCTTGATTTCTACACTCAGACGATACAATAATGCCTTGTAATATTTGCTATTGATAGTTTTATCTTTATCAAGATAAATCTATGAACAAAACACCCTGCACATCCTGAAATTCGGATGCTATAATCTTACCAGCTGACTTTTGAGTTCTTTGTTGCTGTGGACGACTATCACTGACCGCTGTCCACTCAGCTGACAATTCTTTTTTATTCAGGTGCGTTGTAGCGGATACATGTTTTATCCATTGTAACATATCAGCATAAAAATATTCTTTTTTATATTTCTTTAACAGCTCTAAACAGCAATCCACAGAATCATCAACATGTTGTTCTTTTTAATCTGGTGTAAGCAATAGTGGCATAAATTTCAAAAACAATTTGTCCAATTGTAAACATACTATCTTCTGTTATCCTCAAGATCATTACGGTTATTACTACTACTTCTTCTTCTATGTTTTCCAGTACAACTGCTGATATTGAACCACCAAAGAGTAGCTTCATCAAGGTTATTATGACCACATTTAAATTTAGCATACCAGTGAATAATAGTTGATTTTCCTGATGCAGTGTCTCCATCGCGTTTATTAAGTAACTGTTTGTCTTCAGTATTTCTTCTCATCAAAAGACTTTTTTTTTATCTTCGTTGTTTTGAAAATAACAAAACTAGAGTCACCAAAACCACCGTAACCAGAAAACTAATTATCAGAGTGTCATGAAATTGTTTGAATGTTGCTACGAACCAAAATCGTATGGTCTTTTCAGCAATGTTGCCATCTATGCACCAGACAGACAACTTATTGAGTGATGGGGTACATATATATATATATACAGTCAAACCCCGCTATAGTGAACCTTCAAGGGACCGAAATTTTGGTTCACTATAACCGGGATTTCACTATATCCGTTACTCAGGCAATTTAACTAATGGTTTCCAAGCTCCTCCCTTTTATCACACATTATTCAAATAAATGACTGAAAAATATTATGTAGTAACAAAAAATGTGTTATTTTTCATTACTCATCGTCTTGCGTACAAAAAAAAATTAGTAATCTTTAGCTGATGAGCAATCCTCAACATCAGATATGGAAATACTTCCGGACTCTCAGATAATTTTCCCCGAATTTCTGTTATTCCGCTTTTTAAGCCTGTCTAACCTGCCATTCGAGCACATAAAAGTAGTCTCATAAAATCGCTTAGCAAATTCATCAACATTTGTCCAGATACAGGAAGATTGCGGATTCTTCGATTGCTGAACCTTCAATAATGCTTTTTCAACATCCTTGTGATCTGCTTTTCACAACTTTTTTCTGCCATCTAAATTTTCTTCGTGAGCAGAAATTATTAATTGCCTATTTTTCCATATATTACAAAATGCAGATTTGGATAGTTTCCTGCAAATATCAGCTTGATTGCATCTATTTTCATTTTTTCTGATTATGCCCATTTTATCATCAATGGAGAACATTTTACGCTTACTGCTCGCCATAGTTAAATTTAAAACACTTGTTTGCAGGATTTTTTTTTAACTGAACTGAGAGCAAAAAGGAGTTGAAATGAGGGCCTTATCAACACATATTAGTGTCCAACCCTTTGACTAATAATGAATAATTACTCATTCCCTCTGACAGAAAATGCATATTGATCCCACTGACACCTTACAGGTGCATCGTCTGCCTGGGTTGGAAATATCTGCTTGGTTTGTTTAGGGATGCGAAAGTGAGATAAAAGAAGCAAACAAGAAGAAATGCTTATCGCTACATTCCCCTCTACGGATGGTTTTGAAAATCGGTATATGTATTTTGAAGTAGAAATTTCAAAATTATTAAAAAAAATTTTTAAAAAAATCAGTCGAAGACAGAAAAAAGTTCATTATATCCAACTTCCTCACTTTTTTGGTTCACTATATCCACAAAAAATAACATTATACGGAACCACTTCAGAA